GCTAAGAAGTGATACGTGAGCTCAGAAAGATAATTTGTAGGTATTGGCCAACAGAAAGAAAAAAAAAGATGAACTTAAAAAGTGAGTTTTTGCCTTCCTCTCTTTTTCAAAAAAGGTGAAATAATCTGTCATTAAAATGTGTCCCATCTTCAGCTGGGAACACTGGATATGTAGTAAGCAAGGAGAGGGGTGGCCAGGGCTCGGGATCCATCTCATCTTTTACTGTTTGTCTAACGTGGGGCAAGTAACTTCCCTTTATGGACCCACATGTCCTCATCTGTAAAACAAACACATCTAAGATGTCCTTCTAAGATACATCTAAGAAGTAAAATTGTCTTTTCCTCAGATCACTTTTATCCTCATAGACCCATGGAAAAATCAAACAGTATTTTATGACAACTCTAAGAAGGTTCAGCACTCAGGGGCAGAATCTACAAATATCATCTATTTCCAATTATATTTCACATGTGCATATGTGCACACACAATGGCTGTCACAATTCAAATCTGTGCAAGAAAAAGCTTAATCCCCAAACTCCAATCATAAGCAAAGATTTCATACATTCACGGCTTTTGCATAAAACCCAAAGCTCCTGGGATGAAACAACATTTAGCATGATCTCTAATGACCACTAAATTGAGTTTCAAGATGTGGCTCGATTGTACAAAACTGACAAGCTAGCAGACTGAAGTGCAGCATTTTTAAAAAACTTTGGTATGCCAAGACCTAAATTTGAGGACTTTCTCTCTGGCAGCAGCAAACAGTATCACTAACACCTAAAAGAGAATGCAAGCATCTGCAGGCAGTCACCACACGGCTTCATATGTCAGCAATCGTTACAGAAGAAATGCAGACCCAGATCCAGGGTCTTTGCATTCTTGCCAGGAAATGATTTTCAACTACTTTGTTTTAACACCTTCACCCCTGAATTCTTTGTAACCACAGCTTAACTCAGGGGCTAAAATACACCTATTCATGCCTTTGTAAATCTACATATGTTTATAATTTGAGATTGCTATGTGAAAACACACTTTTCTATTTATCTTCAAGTCAAGCAGCTGGGCCACCTTAATGGACTGGCTTCTCAACGCTAGCCCATTAAGACACACGGGCATGGGTTCCAGGCATAGAAACCCTCTGGCCACATTTCTCAGAGCTCTATGGCCCCTGCTACTACAGACTTCTTGATCAATAGATGGTCAGTGGCCTGTCAACCCCTGACAAAGTTAAAAATCCAACCTGATGTATTCAGAAGCATTTCAGGGATTTTTCTACCTGCCCTTTCCTGACTGTCATGAATATTAGGAAGAAGAAAACATTGTTTGAAAAATGCCCTCACACAAAGGCTGCATCTCTACTAACAAGATGATCTCTGCCATCTTCAAATCTATTACTTGAGGTTCCCTATGTCTCACCTGAAAATAACAGAATTAATGTATTTTAATCCTCAACTTTTTATATTGAAAAACTTCAAACCTACCAAAAGGTTGCAAGAATAGTACCATGACCCCATACGCCCTTTATCTAGAGACAGTATTTTGCCACATTTCCACCCTTCTTCCCTTCCTTTCTCCCTCCCTTCCTTTCCTTCCTTCCTTCTTATCTCTGTGTATATGAAATTATATATTATGTACCCAGAATTTTTTGCTAAACATATTCAGGATTGGTTGTATACATCACGACATTTCATCTCAGAATACAGCATATATATTTGCTGTCTAAGATCAAGAGTATTCTCCTCTATACACAAAGACAACTATCACATACAGGAAATATAACACTGAGAGAATACTATTATCTAATACTCAATTTATACTTAAATTTCCCCAATTGTCTCAATAATGTCTATTATAGTTGCTTTTTCCCAATTAAGGATCATGCACTGCATGAGGCTGTCATATTTCTTTAGTCATCTTTAATCTACAACAGTTGTCCAGCCTTTTGGGGATGGGGCAGTATTTTTAATGACGCTGACAGTGGTGAAGAGGACAGGCCAGCTGTTTTGCAGTATGTCCCTGAATGTAGATTTGTCAGATTGTTTCCTGAGAACTGTTGTGATTTCTTAGTGCATCGCCAGGACATCTAACATCATTTGGACCCATTATAGATATCAGTAAGTTAGATCATGGCCAACTACTTAAAGACATAGTGTCTTAACATGAATACGAAACCATTTACAGGCCTTTAATTTCAAACTGTTAACCATAGTTATTTAAAATCTTACTTTCCAAAATATATTTCAAAACAGAGCTGACTTTTCTGTCTCTCAAGTATTAACTCATTTTCTCCTATACCAGGGGATGCTCTCTGTATCCTATCATAAAAGACCATAATGGACTATAAATATTAAAGGTTTCACAAAGGAGGCTGTTTTGTGTTAGATCTTTAGTTTTATTTAATTTTTTATTTTTTACCTTAAAAGATGTGTTAGTCTGTGTGAGATCTTGATAGACAAATATAATTTTGTCAAAAAGAGCAGCGGGAAAACATTCAATGAATAAAACATATCACAAGAAAAGGCATCATTCATGGGAGTGAAGAGTGTTTGCGGAACCGTGAGTCAACTATTATAGTCCAGGCAAGAGATAAGGATGGCCTGCTCTGGGGCAGTGGCCAAGGAAATACAGACAAGTAGACAGACGGGAAAATTCTTTGATAGCTGAACTGGTGCAACTGCATGTCTATGATGCCTTCACTGACATTGGGAAATAGGTGCACGGGACTGGTCATTCAAGTCTCATTTGAATATGTTAAGTTTGAGGTGCTTGTAGGAAATCCAGATGGAACTGTCCAATAGACAGAACACCAGGTCTGGAGTTCAGGAGAGAGTACTTGATGAGAAATGCTGCTTTGGGTCCATATCATGGAGAGCTGAAGTCATGGACACAGACAAGAACATGAGTGTAGAAAGGGAGGCACAGGCACGACATGAGAACCCTGGAAGTACATGAACATAACAGGGGGTTGTGGGGTGGCAATCTGTTTCCCACCAGGGCCACAACTAGTGCTCTGCTTTTTGTGGAAATGTTGATCTGAAGGCAAATGAAGCAAAGAAAAAGAGTTTGACCAGATTTGTAGATTCAGGAGTCACTAGTGAATGGGTAGTAGGTGACTTAAGAAAGTATTTTTTTGGACTAAAGATAATAAATTAGTAAATAAAATATAACTGATACAGGGTGAAGGTAAGTAGGGGAGGTGTTCACTGAAAAAGGGCAAAAAAAAAAAAAGGCAATAGCAAGGACAAAGTGAAAAGGAAATCCAAATGAAAAAAGAAAGTAGAGGAATACTAGTCAAGAACATAAATAGAAGGAAAGATGAGGTCACCTTGCCTTCTTGTATCAAGTTGCCCGAATGCTCCAAGACAGAGGCAATACGTGAGAAACAACATTTGATCCGTGATAGGAAATAATATAAAGACAAATGCATGTGCCCCTAAGAGTTAATTTTACTAAAATTATTTATGATTTCCATTTTAAATTGAGGTTTCGAAACCCTTTTCTCTTTAGCTACTGAACTGGGAGCGACTTGTTTCTCCTCATCTGGATCTTCCTGGGGCCTTCCTTAGTTTTATGTTGCAAATTTTGCTTCTATAACATTAAACCCCAGAGCTCCAAGGTCCAAAAAGTTGCCATAGGCTTAGGGACAGATATTCATCAGGATCATTAAGACCTTGGCTTTAACATTTAGAAGAGGTGAATTTACTAAATGTTTAAAAATAATTGATAGATGTATACATTAATATATAATACTCATATATTATTTATTATATGGAACTATTCAAATATATTCCTTCCAAATATATGTATCTATCTCCATATTAACTTACTTGGTTACATGATTCTGAAGAACAGAATTAGAAGGATTTTTAACGACTAATCACCAGTTCACTACCAACCAATATGGGGAATAAAATGCATCCGCAGAAATGGCAGTTCTTCAAGAAAACATCTATTTCATTCAATCTGCTGAAACCATGTACCTTCCTCCAAGGACCCCTCACAGTTCTCAAACACAATTGGTTTTTTGTCACATCTAATTTCAATTAGTCATCGTGATATGGCTAAGAAGCTTTTTAACAACAATCAGTAAGGTCTATGTAGGATCCTGCTTAAATTCTTGACATTCTTCTCATTGCTTTCTGCAAAACCACATGCGCAGAAGGCGATCACAATGGAAACAATCAGTGAGTCATTACCAAGCTATATACTTCCTCAGCTCTCTCTCTGTGTGTGCGTGCGTGTGCACACGCACGCACATATATGCCAATTCCTTCCGAAACTGAAATTTGATTGTCTTCCTGATCTTTTACTTCTTTCCTTTTTCTACACAAAGGCAACATCGATGAAGCAATTAAAATTAGTTGCCAAGAATTACAAGACATATCAATGCATGAAAAAAATATTCTGCTTCTAACCACATATGAACATGTAAGTTTTAGATTTTATGTGGATAAGTTCAGAAGGGCAAGGATTCTGTTTAAACAGTTTTCCAGATGATGTCAGACCACCTTAGTGTCCCAGTATGTCTTCAGAATAGTTGATCTACAATTGCGGTATTTAAACCCAAGTAGATTATAATATTGAAAACAGCAATTTATTATGACACTATTGTTTTCTCTTAAAATTCTCTTTCTCTCTACCTCCCCTACCCTCCATTCTAGTGGAACGCAGTGATGAACTGAAATGAGAAAATGTAATTAAAATCACATTCCTCCCCCAAGGGTCAACCTAATTATCAGCCTCTCACCCCAAAACAAATTTAGCTCTTTGAGAATGAAGGTCCTTATCACTCATGGAAAAAACACCAACAAAGATTAACATGCCATTTAGGCATGACTGCAATCTTTCATTTTAAGTGACCTCTTCGTTTAATGGATTCAATGCGTTCTCATTCAAGTGGAATATATATTGTGGGAGAGAACTGTAATAAATGGTACTGTCATGACCCCTAGGTTAGAGCAAAGGAATATTGGAAAATAAATCTCAATTCCACATACTCACCAGTCCTGCAATGGGGGTAGGCAATCTATTGATCTTTTTAACAAGTCCTGGCTTTATAGCATTCAGCAACCTGTCATGAAAAAGGCAGAATGTCAAGTGAGACATAAAGCAAGATGGATCACACAAATCACCTTTATCCAGGGCTACAGCTAAATTGCTGGATAGGAAAAGCAGTGAATTCAAAGCATGTAGTAAATCTCAATAATCTATCAGCTTCATGCATATAAGTGAAGAGCTTTGCCAATATCAAGTTGGTCCATGGCAGGTGAAGTTTTAGAATTTAGAAACGTTGAGAGAGGAGAAAGGGTAGAGACTGAAGAGGGCTTCAAGGAAAAGGACAAGGGGGAGAGCTGGATTGAGGTTGTGAGGGAATTATCTGGAACTGGAGCCAGGTATTACAACTCAGGTAAAGCTTGTTGCCAATTTTCCTGGCTAAGACAGGGGTCTCTCCAGGGATGCACTAAATTCAAAGACCAGTATCTATCTTTACAAATGATTTGCCAAGACAAATTCTAAGTCAGACCCTACTTGCTCTTTGAGAAGAGTGGCTTTTTCAAAGTGGTTGAGCTTCACTTTAAAAAGGGAAGAATATGTTTAATAAGAGGTTAGCCAATCATATTCTGAAGATTTTAAACAAGGCTGACCAAGAGTCCCTAGGTACAAAAGATATTTGAGCAAAGGATTTTCAGCTAAAGATTGAAATTATATAACAATGGTTACACAAGCAAGGGAATGCAAGAGAAACAACTATCATTGCTTGTTTTCAGGACATAAAAATGAAACAGAGTGAACAGAAACAAGGAGAGCAACTTATAAAACTAAAATGTGGTTAGCATCGGGGTAATTGGGTAAAGTGTAGCATTTGCAAAGTAGGTTATTCATAAATAAGTGATTGAAGGTAAGGGGCTGGAGAATGTAGAATATTACTTCCACATTCGGGAATCAGGCAATTAGGTAACTTAGAATACTGTGCAAAGAGAAACTTAGGGTAGGAGTGTATTATAATTGAGAGGTCAACAAACTACAATCCCTGGGCCAAATCTGGTCTAACACCTGTACTTATAAATAAAGTCTTACTGGAACAGGAATATAACCATCCTCATTCATTTACGTATTGTCTATGGCTACTTTTGTGCTACAACTGCAGGTTACAATGGAGACCTGAGGGGCCACAAAGCATACAATCTTCACTATTTGGTGCTTTATGAAAAAGTTTGCTGACCTCTGTTAAAATTCATGCAATCCAAGGTTATAAGAAATTATAAAGAACCTATGCTTGCCAGATTTCTACAGATCAGTAACAAAAATTTTTCAAATGATTTAATCGTCTTGAATTGACTTTGATACCACTATATATTTATATGTTGAGAAATGTCCATATAGTGATTGTGACAGGATATTCCATTTTTGCATGCAAGATTAATTGGCTGCTCTCAGTAATTTTCATGGCAATTCCAACATGCTGCCACCAAGAGGCGCAGTACTCACAGTGCACAAGTGCTATTTTGCCCATGGAGAGCCAAGCTGGCTGCTCTTTTCATGAATGCACTTATTTTTTAACCATAAATTTAACCTTTTAAAAATGCTTCTTTATAACTTATTTTTGAATTGTTGGTGTCACCAGTTGGAAGGCAATTTGTTCACTCTTCTCATTTTATAGTTCAGAAAACTGAAGCCTGGTGAAGTCTGAATTGAAGTCTGAGTGACTTCCCCAGAGCTGATTAGTAGCACACTCGGGCCCAGAACCCAAATTTCTTAGATCAGTGCTTTCTATCAGGTGGTGTAAATATCCCAAATCTCCTGGTTTAAAATACACATATAGATATCTCCAAAGTCACATTTTTAAATGTACAAAATTTTTTTACTCACTACTTTTGCTTTTCTCAGATACATTACTTTCCTTACTAGTTTTTAACAGTGTCATTTTAAACTGAATTTTATGATAATATTTGTACACAGCTGTTGACAATTCAAAAACTTCAAAAGGATATACAGTAAAATATCTTACTGTCACCTTTGTACCACAGGACTCCAGCCTACTCTCTGAAGGCAACCTGAAAGACTTTCCAGAGGAGAATTCATTTTAAAAATATATAGAATTTAAAAATATATATGTGTAGCATATAGTACACACTGTCCTACACCTTGCTTTTCACTTAACAATGTATTTTGGAGGTTGAACAATTTACCTTGGAGACTCCTTATCCATACATATGGAGCTAAGCCCTTTTCAATAGCTGTGGACCACTAATGACTACAGAGCTGGCAGATTAACCACTCTGTCTAATAGTTTTAGATTTTCCTAATAAGATGAAATACCATTGCTACCAGACAGACTAAGATCTGAGCCTTGTTGTTAATTAGGCAAAGTAGAAAAAATAACAAAATGTCCTACCCCAAAATTCATTATTTAAAAATTATCTTTTAAAGAGGTATGCTTTTTGTCCTTTATATCTAAGAACTATATTAATATTTTTAGTAATGATGGCCCCAAAACTCCTCTTTTACATATATTTAGATTTTTAAGCTGTTTTTAATATTTCGTGGTATTCATCCTTTGTAAAAATTACACTTACATAGCAGAACCTTCCCTATCACATAAAGGGAAGATTGGAAAAAAATCAATCAATCAATTAACTGACCTATAACAATAGGCCTTACTTAAAAGAAGCAGAAACTATGATCTCTCTCACATTGTTTTACTGTAAATTAAAAAATAAAAAGCCATAATGTTCACTTTCAAGACTGAGACAGCTGTATTTTTTTTCTGGTAAACATTGCTCCAATCCTGTGCTCTGTTTATAATACACAACAATAAAAGATAACATTGAATTCACATTGTTGAAATGTTCAACACCTGCTTATCTTGTATTTTGTGTTAAACCAAGGACATTTTTTGTGTAAGAGATTTTTTGAGTAAGAGTCAAGGATATTCACTTGCAATTTTATTAAAAACCACTATGCCATCCTATATAAGCTAAAATATAAATATTTTCAGTAAATACTTATTGATGACATGCTTTAAAGTGATTATGCTGATCATGGTATGTTATATTTATATAACTTCTGGGGTGCATTATTTCCCAAAAGTCCTGCCGTGTAGAGACAGGTCATGTATGTGTCCCACCATTTTTGTAGAAGAAAAAATGAACCCCAAAGACATGCACAGCTAATCTGAAGCACAGCTGGGACAGTTTTCACCTCTTAGGCCATTTTATATCACAGTTTGGTGCTTTAGAAAGTCCAACCTCAGTATGTGTCATCAAAGCGTAATTCAAAACAAAACACAAAAATAAAAAACCCAAACAAATACTACCTAAATACAATGGGATAATATCAACACCAGGTGGGAATGAAAGGAAAATGGAAGACAGTGTCTGTTGGTGAAGTGTAAGACACATAGGATCCAAGTTCCCTCTACGGATGACCTGCAACCTCATCACCAGGAATTCCAGAGGAAAGGACGCTGTCATCCACTTGGAAGAATATCTCCACTCAGCAGTACCCTATGCAAATTTCCTGCCTGTGGTTCCCAAAACATATGGCTAAAGGTCTTAACAGGTAGTCTGTTCTCTCTGTCTGGTAGGAGATCATCTTTGTATTCATCAAAAGATGAATTTTCTGGAAAATTAGCATAATCCTACACAACAAAACTATCAGGCATTTGTACCACGTGCTAAATATACCCAAAACTACAACAAAAATAAAGAAAATTTTTAAATGTCAAAAATGTAAGAGCCAATGAGAAGAAACTATTTTCAGATATTTACTGTTTATCCAATATCCTTGATCAAGTGCCTGCTATGTGTTGTCCACTATTCTAGGCACAGGAAGGGCAACAGTGAACAAGACAAGCAAAGTTCTTATTCTTTGGAATTTGTAATCTTGTTACAGTGAGTGGATGGGGCAGTGGGGGGAACAGAAAACAGGTAAATAAATGAGAAGAAAATTTCAGATAGCACACAAGTGCAGTAATAGGCCACGCAGTAGTACTCTAATTGTATGGTCTGAAGGCTGCTGGGGAGGTCACATTTAAGAAAAAAGTTGAATGATACAAAGGAATTAGCCAACGAGAGACTGGAGGACAAGAGTTCCAGGCAGATTGAACAGTCAGCAGAAAGGCTTTGAGGTAGGAGTGGGCTTGGTATATTCAAGAGACAACCAGAAGGCCAATGTAGCTGAGCAGAGTGAATAGAAGGAAGAGGTCTGGGACTAGAGGGCCACGGTGTAAGCAAAATCCAGGCCCAGGTAAGGCATCTAGATTTTTTATCTTAAGTTCAATGCGAAGCATAAGAAGACTTGTAAAACAGAGACTGAGATAATCTGATTTATATTTTCAAAACATCACTGTTTGCAAATAGGTAAAAAAGTTACAACTATATGCATATAGAAAATTTCTGCTTATTAAAAATCATAGGTATCAGAGAGCATAGATAAAACATCACCAATAACTTATAACATTCAGCTTGATGAAGAAGAAGAAGAGACAGTGAATTTGGAGTCAGTAGCCTAGGTTTTAAAGTTGAATCCTACACATATTAGCTATGAGTTACTGAAAGGTTTCTTAATCAGGGTCTTCTCAGTTTTCCATTTCATAAAATGGGGATTTAAAATAAGCTTTGCCTCCCATTCAGGATTAGAGTGAGAATCCAGTGGGGTGATGTCTGTTGCTAGCATTTGATAAATGGAAACTTGCAAATTCATTCACTTCCTATACTGAGCATTTCCCTTTTTGCTAGGTAACTGCAAGCTATGTTAGTTTCAATGTTCCTATTAGCCAGTTGCTAAAACCCAAAATAAAAATAAGTTTTGCTTGTTCTCTTTCTCTGGCCACCTTTAGATAAACATCTCACATAAATGAATCAAGTCAACAAATGTCTATAACTTGTCTAGCATACACCAGCTGAGAAACAACTAGAAACAGGAAGAAAAGCTATGATCTTGGATAATCCTTAATTATGAAACAAGCTAATGGCACTGAGAGTAATCAAAAATAAATGTTAATTTTATGACAAAAATGAAATGGTGTCTAGTAAACTTTTATATTCTAAATCTGAAAAACACTGCAAC